CTGCGATTTAGAACGCAAAAGTGTCGTGCGCAATTTCGCCCCGACAAACTGGTGCCGTTGGATCGGAACATGTTCGTTCCACTCGTAAACGATTATTAGTCGAAATAAGCCCCCACCGACAACCTCCACAACAGTCTTATGGTGTTGCATTACTCTCAGCAAGATGACCACCCTAGAGCTGTTTTGCTTATCAGCTTCGATCTCATTCGCTATCCATCGTCGTCCACTTTCCCTAAGTTTGATCTTTTTGTTGACGTTGCTCTATCATTCCGTAACACACCTATCATGAGATCCTCTCAAAAGGCACGTCGTACGTTGGAGGACCCTGCGCGAGGCTTGCCATCGTGATCCGCCGGGAGGGGTGGGTTTATATTAGTTTTTGTGAAAAAAGGATTTGGTCATCGACTCGTCTTCATTTCTCCTATATCAAGTAATGCACTTATACACCCTCCCTTCTGTCGACTTTTCCAGTTGTTGGGGAAAAACCGGAAAACTTTTGGAAAAATGTGAGCGAGTCGTACCACGGTACCAAAAGGGGAAAATCTAGTGGCGGGCGGGGGTTGGGGGTTGTATTTGCAAGAGTTTTCCACAGTACGGCAGGACGTAGTGCACTGTGGCATCCGCGGAGCCAAACTACTTGCCAGATCTAGGCTCAGTCTTTTTTGATGAGAACCTGGTCTATTTGGAACAAGGTTATGGTGAAGGGTAAATGCTAGTGTCAAATGTTCGGGCAATATAGTTCGGGGAGAAGGGGGGATAGATATGTCAGAGCGACTGTTATATGTTATGTCTCGTTTCGTTTTGTCTAATCCCTGAAATGATTGCTTACTTCACTTCTTCTTTCGTTGAGAGGACGCAGACAAGCAAGCAAGTAACACGCAGCTCGGAACAAAGTAGTGAGGAGAGGGAAGGGGGTGCCGGTCGCGTGGTATCCCCTTCCTTTCCTCACTACCTTTGTACCCAGTGTTTTGAAGTGGGGAATGTAATCTGCTGAGAATGGTGAGTGGATAAAGTCTGAAAAGACTTGATTCCTTATTTCATCCCAGTCAACCCCAACTTTTTCTTTCGGAGAGGGGCCTCAGTGATATTCAGCCCTTGGGTCGCGTGGATCCCTGCCCCTTTGAAGCCTTTATAGTCTTTTTTTTGAATCAAGTAGGCGATGAGAAGAGATCTATTTCCGTGAGCTTTTCGTCGATTCTCTGGCAATTTATCTTGCCTATTTTGATATTAGAGGATGTTAACCCTTGAAAACCAAACCATAACGATACTGAAGGATCAGCCGGTTTGATAAGGCGAAAAACCCGTCAAACCGATTTCGATTTGCGGTTTCTGCGCAGAAAACAAAACATCTGAAAGACTGTGAAAAAACTCGGTCAAAAAGCTGATTATCACAGCGCCGAGCGGGATCTGCAGCGACATATGTTAATGGGCGAAAGTGCACGTTCCGACGATGTCAGTCTCTGGCGCTTTTTCTAAAATTGCTCTGATGTAAAATCTCAAAAGCGAGCGGAAATATATTTGGTTTGCTTCTTTCCGGAATATTAACTTTTCTTGCCTTCTTTTCCATTCGCTTGATGGCGGTGGGTGCTAGAATCTTCTCAAGGTAGGTTGTAGTTTTGATCGTCTCATGACTTCTCAAGGTGGTCAACTTCTGGCGCAAAACCGAGTGTTTCCACAGTAAATTTCTGACACGAGGCTCCCGTTATGCTGTACCATACTGCACTATTTAACGCGGCACTACAGTATCTAGGGTTAAAAGAGCATTGAAAGCTTACATTAGCCTTGAGTTACCTCAGTGCGTTTTCTATCACCCACTCTGCCTCACTTAGAAAAAACTTTCTTCAGAAGAAAGTACTGGCAGACAGACTATGCGTTTGTCTCCGAGGACGGTATTTCTCATGTGCGAGGCGAATAAGTGCAGTAGAGTGCCCTTTTCTGCGGTCAAAAGCACACGATAACGGGGCTGGGGGTGGAGAATGTTGCCCGAGTGCTATCTCCATTATCCTCCCGCGCTATCCTCAATTCGGCGACATGTGCATATGGGAAGATGTGCTGTAAGGGACCTACGGGATGTTCATAGGCGTCAGCATACGCCCACAGCACGCTTGCTGCTCGCTGCCCTCAAATAGAGGAAAATCTGCGATACTGAGCCCAAAAACCATACAAGCAGAAAAACCACTTCGATTAGGTATTCGGCACAGGAGCATTACTGGAATCCACCTAGGAGACAGTACCGGTCGAAGGGAATCTTCGACTTACTTTGGCACTGCAGTCATGGCCAGAGAAATACAGTGCTACCCTAATCTGAGCAATTTGTTTTTATTCATTTTTTTGGCATTCCCAATAGCGTTCAGCAAAAACGAATCTAACCTGTGTAGTCCATGCATGGACCCCTACATCATGCAACAAACCGTTTTTGAAAAGCTCACCACGACCTGAACGACCTCCCTTGTCAGATCTCTGATTCCCCAGACCATCATTTAAGAAAACGTTTTTCTGTTAGAGCGATAATGGATGAGCTTTTCTCAGCCCTTATGGGATCTACACCCTCGCAAAACTTCATCGCAACGAATTACTTGAACCGTCCAAATTTCGTCAGACCAACACATTTGCAATATTCGCACGCCTTTTTCAGCGTCTGTGAACTAGTTTACCACGTAAGGTGTTTAATCATTTCTTCTTGCCAACGAATATCGCTGTATCTTCCACTAAAACCAGTTGTATCCAGTCGCTGAGCTTCATTGGCGTGAAGTACCGTTAAGTTACTACGAGGTTCCACTTTGCCTTAGCCGTAGTCGACCGATACACCCCTCCCAAATGGCCCAGATGGTGTTGAACTTCAGCAGACAACAGCACGTCCTTTTGACTCTCGCAATCTTTTCATATAGCTGTTTGATGTTCGAGTAATGATGAGACTTAGTGCGACAAAGCTTCTCGATTCTTATTTTTAGTGGGTTTGTTGACTAAGCCATGCTGACTTTTATTTCATTCATAGGAATTCACTTCGCTCAAAGTGGGCGAACTCATATTGTCGCCCCTCATATTCGCTTTTTTATATATAGGTGGAGGGAGGGGGATTCGCCGTCACATTTTTTTCGAACTGAAAATACTCTTTGCCCATTACCAAGGTAATGGGGTAACCGGTAATGTAAGCACTTATACATCAAGGAGTTGTCTTTCTATTAGTACCACTCTCTTGCTCCTGCTTCTTCTTTTGCAATATGGACAAGGATTTTATCCACTACCATCGGCACCGACCCCTCCAGACGCTTCGTCAAACACTTTCTTTCACACCCTGACGCCAACATGTTAGCTGCAGATGCCAAAATAATGGAGCTGAATTAGGACGATGCCCTCAATTGTCGGGAAATCTTCCCACGGATGCTTCAAGGCGGGAGCCTAGGGAATTTACAGTTTTGATGACGAAGTGAGGTTTGGCTACTTGTGAACACAGACTGAGGGAGCTGTGGGTTGTGAAAGTGCTGGATAAAAAGAAGCTGCTTCCTAGGTCAGTGCGTGCGCAAAGCAGCTACGAGATCTAAAGCGTACCGTCGATCAGAGGGAAAAATTTGTCCGCACAGCCCGCCCTCATCATGATAGTTCAGCGCGCTCCGTCCGAAAAAGTTCGAGCCGTACCCCATAAGAATAGAGAATAAGCCCAGACATTTGCTCCTTCTAAGTGCTAGTTTGCCTCCCATACTTAACCTATGTGGACGAAAAAACCTCCACGACCCGAGCCCGAGTCAAAATTGAGATGATGTCCAACTTTGCGTCGCGCCGGCCTGCATTGTGAAGCGTTGGCAGCATCCATGAGGTGCTCAAGAACTGGCAAGGACCTCGCACTAACATCGCTGTACAATTTTGATCTCTGAGGATCCACATTGCATAACCTACCCTAAAGAACTGGCTATGAAACTCTTCCCCATCCACTATATTCACCGATCCAGCCACACCGATGGTCACTTTCCTAGATATTTGAACAGCTTACTGAGGAGGAATGCTCCAGAACCGCGTTCATAGAGCTCATCGTCTCTAGGATCTTTGGATCGCTCCGAGAGTTTGTCCCGCATCGCGCAATCGCAGTCCTGTCGAAATCGGATGCTTGGAAAAATTCTCGAAGTTTGTTAAGCTGTTTCCATAATTCGGAAGCAGCACTGTTCATAAGTTTTTACGGTTCTGCTGACTTTAAATGAACTCGTGGATTATTGGCACCGTACGGAGCCTTTGGAAGGATCCCTAAAGCAGTTCCTTAAGATCAAAGCTGTGCATTCACCTCTGTGGGACGTGGGGTATTCCTTGCCGTAATGCGAGACAATTGCCGTCACTCATTTGCAGTAGCGTGTCACTTTCTTCCCTTGAAAGAGAACCAGAAGCAACTGGAAGGTGGTGAGACCCGGGCGCTGTCTCCCGACTCTATCCGCGCTCTTCAAGTCCTGCTAGCAAGCTTGCATAGATACCAGCTTGCAGCGAACACGCACCCAACGGTAGAGGACAGCCAGAAGTGAGAGGGCGCCGACAAGTAGCGTGTTTGGCCATGCTTAGGCATAAGGCTGGCAGTGCGGCAGCGCGGGCGCTGCATAGAGATGACACCCTGTTGTTGCCCTACAGCCCTGTTCCTGTGCACTTTTGATCGGAGAAACTGCGGACCCATTCTCTCACACACGGCAAGGACCAGGGTTCATGAAGGTGAGTGTACGTTTGGCCCTCAAGAACTTCTATCTCGGCGAATGTAGCCTAGATGAAGAACATGCTGGGCGGTCATCGAGTGTTGAAAATGAACTCTCGGGAGCATCAGTCGAAGAGATTCGAGCCACGAGCAAGGTCCTCATTCCGTAATATCCCCCAGGGCAATGCCCTCACTCAAAAGAAACGGCCTATTTCCACCATGTTCACCAGATCTAGCCCCCACCGACTAGATCATCTTGCGGCATAAGATGGGAAACGGATGATGATGTACGACAATCGGCGAATGCTTCGCGGGTCAGTGGTTGAACGATATCCTATTTCCTCAACCTGTCCTCATGCCGAAGCATCTTGGAAGAAAGGCTGTGCCTGTCGTTTGGTGGATTTGCAGCTGGTCTGATCCATGAACTGGACCCATCGCCAGTTCCATGGATCTGGAATGGGCAATTGCTGATGGCAAGCACCGCCAGGAAATGGCGTAATGCACCGCAACGTTCACCTTATCAACCCGTCTTTCGATGGTCAGCAGGAGGGAACGGATTCTACTCCACAACTATAACACTGGGTACGTCGCGCAATCGATCCGGACGAACCTGAATGGGTTGGACTACGAAACCTTTCGAAACCACCATGTTCACCAGGTCCAGCTCCCATCGACTACCATTAGTCTGTATATCTCGACAGGGAGAAAAGCTCCAAAATCCAACATAGCACTTCAACAGCGGCATTCACCGATTTTGTCACCTCTAGGCTCCAAGCTTCTCTGCAGGCGGAATCAGCACATCTTACTGGGTGCGTAGAAACTTTGGTATAATGGTTGTTATTAGAATAGAACAGTTTCAATCAGCCAAGCGTGAGCCGCAGGAACATCCTTGATGCGTGGATACTAACTACACATTCAGCTTCACCCTCACAATCGGATCATCAGCCACTTGCATGGCGCATCCCAAATCCTAAGCGACTTAGTTCTTCCTTTTGTTTTTTCACAGAAGCATGTAAAGCGAATTTGCAAAATTTATTACACAATTTAAGAGTATTGATAATGAACTCCTAGTATCTTCACATTAAAAAGTTGATCAGTTGTGCTCTGGACCTGAAAAACATCGTTCTATCACACACGCTTTTGCGGCATCTCCCTGAAGTTGGTCCTGCCCAGACAGTTTCGGCGCCCCAGTGCGTGAAGTCCATGGACGGCTTTAACCATATTGCTTGCTTCTTGATAGTCATCTTTTGCAGGACTTCTTTTCGTTCGAACCTTTTGGAAATAAATCGAATTTTTCCCGTCCAGTCGGGCCATTGCGCCACCCAAAACAATACTGAAGGCGTGATTAGCGTATCTGCACAAGTTGTTACCTTTGGTAGGCGTGGTCTTTTCCCTTGTGTTCAGTTTGGCATACTTTTTCTGGTCACTGAAAAACAATTTACCCTTTTAAAACATGTCCAGGATAGGGCTCTCGGGAGACCCACCCTTGTTTCGTTGGACAAGCGAAGAATGGATCATTCAGCATTGCAAATTGTTCTGGAGTGAGGTTGGGACCACATGGAGAGAGTGGAGAATGAGGGGTGGGAGAAGTGAAGGAGAAGGAGATCGCAGGAGAAGGACTGCGTTGGGGGAAGGAGAAGGAGATGGTGAAATTGGGGGTGCTGCTGGTAACGGGGGCCTTGGGGAGTGGCGGTGGTGGTGTTTGTGGCAAAGGCATTTGTACTGGTGGTGGGGGTGGAAGGGGCTGCCTGGCATGGCGCTAGTGCGTGGAGGGAAGAGGTGATTGATTGAGGTAGTGGTTTGGGGTGAAAAAGGTGCTTGGGGAAGCTCGGAGGGCGAGGAGAGACGTGCCTGATGGGGGAGCGGGTGCCGTGAGGATTGGAAAAGGTGCTTGGGGAAGTGGTGGGGGGCGGAAGAGGTGCCTGATTTGGTAGTGGTGATGGAAATGGTGCCGCCGGAGGGGGAAGAAATGACTGCAGGGGCGAGGGCGCCTGAGGTGGAATGTGTAAGGCGACATTTGGAAGATGGTGGTGCTGGTGCTGGAGGTAGCACGGATAGAGGAGGTTGGGGTGGAGGTGGAAGAACTGGTTGAGCTGGAGGTAACATGGATAGGGGAGACTGAGGCGGGGGTGGGAATGGGCTCATCGGTGGCTGCATTGGAGGAGGTGCTGCTGGACGACTGGATAACCAAGGTGTTGTGGCTGCCAGTTGAGGTAAGGCGGGTGCCGCACCGGTTGTGCGGCCACAAGGTCGGGTGGGTGACGCGGCTAACTGTGGCAGCGCGCGGAGAGAGGAGGAGGAGCGGGGCAGGAAGGCAGGAGGAAGCAGATGAGGAGGAAGGAGCCGAGAGAGGACGGCGGTTGGTGGTGCACCGGCTACATCAGGTACAATCGGTTCGTATTCAGCCATGTTCTCTAGTGTTGTGCAGGCAAGTTGGCTCTGAAATGACACATTTGACGACTGGCCAAGTGGCTGATGGTGTGGGACACTTACCAACACACGTCGCGCCTCAAGAGTGAGACTGCTCACCACCCAGCGTGTGAAGAGCGCTTGAGAATGAGACCCACCAGTCTAGTTCTCACATTTGATTTACCTTATTTACATGATTCCTTATCGTGGTAACTCTCACAATGCGGGGAGCGGATGCTAGTGAACTCTTTTTCACTGTCGAGATTCATCCGCCACCCACGCTGCGCGCAGCTTTTGGAGCCCGAGGAGAAGGTGAAGCTGGGAAACAGTAAAATTTCAACAAATGCTGTCTCGAGTTCCATTTCGAAATATGCCGGGGCTCCTCTGAACAAACAGGCAAAGAGCAACGTTCCCAGCAGTCCAGTCGAGGCATGGAGGCTTTGCCACTGATTCCTGCTCAGCTTTACGCAGTTTATTTAGTTGCTCTAGTGGTAATCAAACATCTCAGGACTCAGTTGAAGGCCGTGGACACGATAGGGGCTTGCGGTTGCCACCATCCTCATTGGTGGAATGAGGGCTGAATGGGGTGTGGCCAAAAACTTTTCGTAGCCTTTTCACCAATGTCACTGACAGCGAAAAAGGAAAAGGAAAGGATGACCGGCGCCGGAAACTCTAGCTATTAACTTTTCGTACATTCCAAAGGAATAAGGCACTAAGGTTTGCTGCCCGGCCCTTCATTCTGCACGACACTGGACAATTGTACGACTGAAAGAAAGCAAATTTTGAACGAGTTTCCCGTGACCATTAGTGCGCTAAGGACTGTGGTAGATATGGCTGCATGTACATGGTGTCCCGCTACTGAAGTAACGGCAAAAACTCCACACTCCAACTCCTACACTTTTCCTCTAAAAACATTCTCTCTGGAAACATGGAAAATCGAGTAAAACCAACAATCGAAGACATTTTTCAAAGACGCTTTCGACCCTTTTTCCTGCCGTCACCGAATACGACCCCACTGGCTGTGAATCCACAACGTGCCCTGTACAGAATCAAATCCTGGGGTAAGCTGAGTGTGAGTATTTGGGCCAACGTTTCCGTCAAGCACTCGTATTACATACGTATTACGACTAGATCCTCTTAGTCGTCCCACACGAATGGTGCTGAAGTAATATCATAGCGCTAAACGTCAAAGTCGTTAGCATGGCAGAAAATGGAATCCAGTTCCCAGATTGGCGGCCTTCTTCCTCGCTGTCGCAGTGAGGTCCTCATTCAGCTACCCTACAGCTGGCCACCCGCCTTACTTCAACCTGCACAAGTACCGCGGTAATATGGGCGTCCATCGGCACGTCCTCCACTGCCGAACAGCCCATATCCACCTCCACTTCAATGTCCTCTACGCGCAGCACCTCCAGCTCCACTACTTCTACCTCCATCACCACCTCTTCCAGTACCGCCTCTAACATCTCCACCCCAGGCACCTACCCCACAGTCATTTCTACCACCCCCACAAGCACCATTCCCATCGTTACTACCTAATCAGGCACCTCTTCTACTCACACAACTATCCCATCAGGCACCTTCCACCCCTTCATCAATCAAAATGCCATTGCAGCCAACACAACCACCGCCGCTCTCAAAGTCACCACTACCAACAGCACCCTGTCTCATCGCCTCATTCTCCTTACCCACTCATTCTCCTGCCGCTTCTTCTTCTGCTATACCATGGCGGATAGAGGCCAGGTTCATAGCCAGCACCCATTGACCATGTTCATGGCCAGTGCAGAACTTGAGAATAGAAGTCCTGGAGAATTGGTGGAAAAGACTACATAGGAAACAGTTCTGCCAA